ATCTTAGGCATAAATTTGCGAGCCTCAGGTGGTTGGGTATGGTTGGCTGATGACGGCTATTAGGCCAGAAATGGCAGGCCAGTCTTCGTTATCGTTAATGTTTATAACGCTAGCTGCTGTGCGGCTGTTTGCAGGGCTCGAAAATGAGCCCCAAGGCAAAGCGGGACGACTGATTTCTGTTAGCGATCGGTGAGCGCCTATTCAAGAAAGACCAAAAAAGGAACGTTATGGGTGCCTGGAGTTGTATTTGAGTTCGGAAGAACCGGACAGGTTCGGGAACGGCGTTGAGGTAGAGGTAAGGCAGTGCAACTGACGGCAGAGATATTATTAGTAACGCACCTTCGATACGCTTAGCCCCCCAGTCCTTGGGCTTATGGGAAATATGTGCGAAAGTAGGCCATGGGCTAATCACGATTGTGGAAAGGTAGCGAATGGTAGCTTAGATGCGCTTACGTATAAGGAAAGGCTATGGAACTGCTACAGATGTAATGGTTACGTTTGGGACGACAAGAAAAGGCTAGTCGCAATTATGTAGTTTACTATAAATAGCTACTACTTATATTGTTATATAAAACCCTAAACCTAGCCCTAACCCTAAGCGTAAGACACAAGTCTGGGACTAGGCGTATATAAGGTGTGCTACTAATGATACCACTGACAAAGTGTCTACTCGTGGACCCAGATTTCTTGGTCAGCACGTCGAACACTGCACCCACTGTACCCCAAGATGGATATGCAAACCGCGTAGAGGTAGGAGTGCCAGCGTGGTCCGATCAGTGTTGGGTCGCACGCTTTGGCGCAAAGATTTATAGCTTTCGGCCAGGAGTATTGTTATCTATCGTGGCTCAATTACACTTGGATTTGGTACTGTACGTGAACGGAACGTTCACAACCAGGGCAAATAGGACGACTAACGTGCCTTCATAGTAGAGGCAACTGGAGAGGTGATGATCAGTTTTGGCGATGCTACCCCGAAAGACATCTATGCAGCTGTTGGTGCCCAAATGGTCAGGACAGGTCTAGCAGTAAGGACATAAACGAAGGACAAATCGACCCACCCAACATTTCTGTGTGACTTTTCTTATGGATTAGAAGAACAATGGAGGGAGGCAGTCAAAGTGCCTACCTAACACTTTTTTTCCTCGTCTGCGAGAGCCTCCAATAACTTCTCGTAGGACAGCCGTTTCGGTAGGCATTCTTCAGGCCTCCGCACATTACCTTCCTACAAAGCTGGAGTCGCTTCAACAGTGCGCGCGCGGGCACGCCCTCAATCACTGCCTCACATACGCGTCTCACGTCTTAGACGGAGGCTCATATGCCACATCAGTCACTGTGTGGATAAGGAAGGAGACGAGTCGAGCACCGGATCAATTAATTTATTGTCCTGAGCTTTCGGCTCCACACGAGGAGCCATCGTCAGAGAAAATGAGAAAACAGTAAGCGTTGGCTACGCATGAATGGGGTTGGTAGGGGGAAGGGGGACCAAAAGCTCAGGACGATAACTTAATTGATCCGGTGCTCGACTCATCCCCTTCCAAATCCATACAGTCACTGTGTCCAGTTCGTTGGTAGAGCGA